GCCACATCAAATGTGCCTTTAACAAGTGGTGTAAATAAAAACAAGATTTTCCTTCTTCAACTTAGCCAATTTATTTGTCTGCAAATCAAATGGAATTCCCCCCAAATTGACACCCCAAACCCTCATGACATATCTCAAATTGAAACTTATTCATATTGGGGGCATATCTCAAATTAAAAGTGTGAAAAGCCAAACGCCTCAACTCCAAACCCTAAATCCCAAATCCATTTCATTCTCATCGCTTTATGCCCTTGAAATCGCAAGAAGATTTAGGCAAAAAACCATTTACTTCATTAATCCAAAACTTGAAATCGGTTTCCCCGTACCTGAAATCGATTTTCTCTAATGTTGTGATTCCATTTTTACCATACTTGACTTCCACAAACAGCTGGTAAGTTTGAATTTGCATTTGGTTGTGTCACTGTGATTACTTTGAATTTGTGTTTGTTTGTTATAATGCAATTGTTTTATAATGCTTTTGTGTCCCTGCAGTTTGTTTTACTAATTTATCCATTGAGACCATTGACTTAACGCTAAACATACTTAATTTGTATGTGTTTGTTGAAATGCTTTTGTGTCCCTGTAGTTTGTGTCACTCGTTTATTCATTGCGCATATTGTTTAGAATGGTAGGGAAGAATAAAGAAATTTTGTCATAAAGTCCGGGCACAACTTGTCCGAATGCCTGATAAAGAAACGATGCCCAAAATGTGGTGGCTTCTTGAAATGTATGGAGGTAGAGAAAAATATTGGAAACGTAGGTTGCTTATTCTTATGATGTAGTAGGGATTGATTGCAGTTATGTCAAGTGGAATGACGATTCATCGGAGGAAAAGACTTTGCAATTTGAAGTGTCGTGGACGATCGAGATGTGTTTGTTCGGGTTAATCGAAGCGTAAAGATCCGATTGAAGATTTGTCATGTATGTTGAAGAAATGTGCTCAAATAATAGAACAAGAAGACATCGAGATATCTCTCAACATAATAATCCGCAACGATACAGAGAGGAGAGAGGGAAAGGAAAGGGAAGAATTTCGTGAATTTCTTATAGCTATGTAATTGAGTCAATGACCTATGTTGCAGTGGTCGAACTCAATGTTTATGTAATAGGCTCTAAACTTGTTCTTAATTTGCAACTTTCTATGCTTTATGAATGGATTGTTCATGCTCTAGATTACAAAGGTATGAGCAGGTACTTCTACCGCTAATTTGATCTTTTGTTAAATAATAGTCAAGCGGCGTTGTTTTTAAATTCTGCATAAATTCTCAATGTATCACAATAAGGCAGGGAAAAGTAAAATTAGATCAACAAGTTTATTGACCCGATAGCATTCACTTATTGAGAAATCACAACACAAATCTTAATGCCAAATATATCAACTAATCTGTCAAACATACTTCGATGATATTATACATTCACAATATTTCCAATATGATTCATTCCAATCCATTTAAAGAATCTGCATTTCAAGCCCAAAAAACAGTATTGCATTTCGATAAAAGCATCATTTGCTAGAAAAAAAATTTAATCATCAAGACAAATACTATAGATTCACAAGAACGATAAATACAAATTCCTTCCTAGCATATATACCATAAAAATATTTTTAACTCCCATCTAGTAATCAGTGTTCTTGTGCATTGCACTACAAAACACCGTCACCCCTTTACACCGAACGGATGTAGCTCTTGTGTTGTCTTTGCAATTCTTCTTGCTCGTGCCCTTGCTGCTTTCAGCTTCGACGATTTAGCCTTGTGCATATGTTGTATTTCGCCAACCATTTCTTCGAAGTTAACTTCAATGGTTGACATACTAGATGCAATGGAATGTCCACGTTCAAGTTCATCACCAATGGGAATCATAACTGCTAGACTGGATGAAATACAAACCATCTTTGCTTCACACACAACCATGGTGAAGGCATCAAATGGAAGACATCTCTTGTGCAACATTGCTTGCCGAAGATGTACCCTCTCTGAACTCGACTGCGGATCTATAAATCTGCACAACCTCAAAATGTGGTATGTCTGTCCCGGTAGAAAATTCTGGAAATTGATACACATACCTCAAACTTTCCATGAATACTGAAAGTAGCAAAATTAATAATACATTGTAATGGTAATAAATTAGTTTTCCAACAAGCATCAAAACCAACTTTAAAGTATTCAAAAGTACAAGAGTCAAATTTTATGAGCGAAATTTTATAGTTTTTTTTAGTCTGTTAAATTACTCAACTTTTGATAGTCAAAACAAGTTTATAGTTGATTAAATTTTACTATGTACAACTTATAAGCAACAATAAGAATTAAAATAATAACAATTTTGACTTGTATCGTCGGATCGTCTGCATATTTTTGTTGTTTTATAGTTCACTTTACTGTAATTTATCTGCATAAGTCTCAGTGTAAGACCAATAATACATTATTACTTATTTCTTTAGACGAATAGACGAAATCAGTGTAATGGTCTTGGGAACAGACAAAATCAATAATACTAAACACAGTGATGATACATCTAACTCCATATAATCATACCCAAACACACAATCCAACTCTACTATCTCAATTTCTGCTCAACGTCTCGAAACTTCAAAATAGTTTGAAAAATTATTTTGGAATTACCTTCAATTGGTCCATCCATGTGCACGCCTTCTTCGGTTGAACTGCTCCATGTGCACGCCTTCTTCGGTTGAACTGGTTGTTGGGTCCTTCGATAGTGGGGTAGAATCGATTGTGCGTAGTTAGGGCTTGAAAGAACTTTGAGCGTGCGACTCTCTCTGTCATGAGGGTTTGGGGTTTCAATTTGGGGGAATCCCATTTGATTTGTAGAGAAAGGAATTGGCTAAGTTGAAGAAAGAAAATTGTGTTTCTATTTACATCACTTGTTGGACGCATGTTTGACGTGACGATGATTTGACAAATCATTGAACATTTCATTGATTCAACGTGCTACATCACATTTTCGTTATCCACGTAATATGATTCACTAATGGATTTCATCTGGTGGCCAATGGAACTGAATGGAGTAAAGTTGAGAGACTATTGAAAAAAGTTTGAAAGTACAATGAGTAAGTCGTGACATGCATCAAAGTTCAATGGCTAATGAAACAATTAACTATGTGTGATTCCTAATGAGAAATGAGTCTTTCATATCAATTTGCATGTGGGATATCATTTGAATGATTGAATCATACTATATATTTGATATTTTCGTCTTTCTGCAGCTTATCTGCCTACAATTTTTTTGCACCCGGACTCCCATAATTTTCTGTTTATTTTTTTCACAGCAGTGTAACTTTCTACACCTGAAACCGCATCATAAAAAATAAAAAAATAAAATAAAAAATAAAAAATTCTCGCTTTTGAGCATGCAAGCTTTAAAAGTTTACTTTGAAGTATAAAAAAACAAAAAAACAAAAAAGGAAGCAACTTTTAAAAGAAATATATATTTGGTGAGAAGTTAAAAATAGGTTACATATTTTGACTATTAATTTAGAAAGACATCGATAAACAGTAACTATTTTGATTTCAAGTAAGAAAAATAGTAAGATATTTACACGTAATGCTAGGAAATGCATCAAGTTGGTGTAGACTATAAAAATATAAAATTTCTCCCTTATCGCAAGTTAAACTATTGAGATGAAGTAGTTGAACATGGTACTTGATGATTACGCCCAAAGATTAACGCGGTGATTGTAGTGCAGTTTTGTGGTGTCGTATCCACAGGAAGATGAAAAATTATTTAAAGGATCAAAAGCTTAGAGTTTTTGTCGCGATTTGTGTGAAAATAATTTGTCGATTAGAATAAAGTAAAGTAAAAGTTTAATATCAATATATGAAATAGTGAAGCGCCGAAATTTTCTCGATTAGATTGGTTCAATAAATGTCAATTTTTGCATGAAAATACTCTATTAAAGATTTTCATCCCAACACTTTAATTGGAAAATTTTACCTTTAAACCTATTCAATTCCACAATAATTCCCCAAACTTAGATTTCTTCATAATAAAATTTCACAATAATCCATTGAAATCAGATCCAAGAGCGATTATATACATCAATCATATAATGGTAAAGAATCACACCAATATGAGATTTAATATTGAAATTCAATAAGCACTTCAATTATTCGATGGAAAAAACGTGATTGAATCCATGAAAATTTAATACAAATTAAACCAACCTCCAAACATGTTTATAAGAATAAGAAATCTAAATCTAGAATTGTTTAACAATGAAAGAACACATTTAAGCAATAAAAGACATGAAAATTTTCAAATCTAACCAAGTTCCTTCGTGGCTTCACCAATAAGTTTAGTTCTCCATAAATTTCTTGAGCCAAAAACCAAAGAAAAGTGATAGGAGATGAAGAATAGCCGTGTTCTCCAGTCTAGGGTCTAAAATCGTGTGCTAAATCGTTTTCAAAAGAGGTTGAACCAAATAAGGAAACTAAATTTTCGATTAGAATATTCTGTGCGACTATTTTCAATATTTTGACCATAAGTTTCTCTCTCGATATCCAATTAAGGTAATTCAAAATGTTTTAGAAAGCTAACACAAAGAGATACAATTTCTTCCATTTTGATCATTTCTCGTTCTTTTCGTAACTATTTTGATTTCAAGTAAGAAAAATAGTAAGATATTTACACGTAATGCTAGGAAATGCATCAAGTTGGTGTAGACTATAGAAATATAAAATTTCTCCCTTATCGCAAGTTAAACTATTGAGATGAAGTAGTTGAACATGGTACTTGATGATTACGCCCAAAGATTAACGCGGTGATTGTAGTACAGTTTTTGGGTGTCGTATCCACAGGAAGATGAAAAATTATTTAAAGGATCAAAAGTTTAGGGTTTTTGTCGCGATTTGTGTGAAAATAATTTGTCGATTAGAATAAAGTAAAGTAAAAGTTTAATATCAATATATGAAATAGTGAAGCGCCGGAATTCCCTCGATTAGATTGGTTCAATAAATGTCAATTTTTGCATGAAAATACTCAATTAAAGATTTTCATCCCAACACTTTAATTAGAAAATTTAACCTTTAAACCTATTCAATTCCACAATAATTCCCCAAACTTAGATTTCTTCATAATAAAATTTCACAATAATCCATTGAAATCAAATCCAAGAGCGATTATATACATCAAGCATATAATGGTAAAGAATCACACCAATATGAGATTTAATATTGAAATTCAATAAGTACTTCAATTATTCGATGGAAAAAACGTGATTGAATCCATGAAAATTTAATACAAATTAAACTAACCTCCAAACATGTTTATAAGAATAAGAAATCTAAATCTAGAATTGTTTAACAATGAAAGAACGCATTTAAGCAATAAAAGACATGAAAATTTTCAAATCTAACTAAGTTCCTTCGTGGCTTCACCAATAAGTTTAGCTCTCCATAAATTTCTTGAGCCAAAAATCAAAGAAAAGTGATAGGAGATGAAGAATAGCCGTGTTCTCCAGTCTAGGGTCTAAAATCGTGTGCTAAATCATTTTCAAAAGAGGTTGAACCAAATAAGGAAACTAAATTTTCGATTAGAATATTCTGTGTGACTATTTTCAATATTTTGACCATAAGTTTCTCTCTCGATATCCAATTAAGGTAATTCAAAATGTTTTAGAAAGCTAACACAAAGAGATACAATTTTGTTAGAAATAGCTTTTTCCAAATTCGGACGTTTACTGGGTCAAACGTGGACTTAAATTTCCGGATGAAAATTTGGAAAATCTTTATGCGGTCGAAATTTGATTTGTAAAAATATTATGGTCATATTTAACTTCTTTTCACTTCTAATTGCACCCATTGGACTCCTAGCTTTTTCAAATCATAATTCCATCATCCGTCTCATCTCTAGATTATTTACAACTTGGTCCCTGAACTTTCACTTTCTTCCATTTTGATCATTTCTCGTTCTTCTATTCTAAATTTCACATTTTCTATCAAAATGCAACCCAAATCAAAGCATAAGTATAATGAGTACATTTTGGTATCAAATAATCACACAAATGCAATAATTAGGATGGAAAAATATTGTATTTTACATTCTTATCACACCCCTCAACTTGTTTATTGTTAGTCCCTGGCAATTTAATGTAGAACAAAACAAATAAGTGATTGACCAATATTACGAGTGAAGTTGTTGAGTTCCAATTCAACTGCAGTTCATTATCTTTTCAAACTCAACACTACAAGAAATTAACAATATTATGATCATCAGGTTATCAAAAACACTTGCTAAATGTGTGAGTGTGTGTCAAGTCATAACCATCTTACCGCCAACCCTAACATATGTAGCATCAAGTATGCCTCGAGCCAAAGGTTCAGCCCCATAAATCACAGGTATCAAAATATTTTGTGCGATTTTCTCTCTATGGAGCTGAGAAATGGAGACACTCATAATTTGGAGGCTTAGATGTTTCTGAATGAGCAACAAGCGAACATTGATCTTATGATAGACATACTGTTAAATAAAAATTCATCACTTTCTTACCACAATCATACTTGGGATCAAAACAATCNGAACATTGATCTTATGATAGACATACTGTTAAATAAAAATTCATCACTTTCTTACCACAATCATACTTGGGATCAAAACAATCAACGTAAGGGGTTGCAACATGGTTTAAGTTAGGTTGTATGAAAAGGAGGATATAAAGATTCAAAGACTTCCAAACATGTAGTTAGGCATTTCATTAAGCGTCTCAATAGATTACATCATTCGATCAATACACTCTTCAATATTTCAACTCCAAAATCAATATTTTTTCTTCTTTTTTTTATTGTTTTTTTCTTTTGTTGTTGTTTTTTTTTTAATAGGGGTGTCTTGCTTGAGCACATACTAACTCTTTTCATTTTCTTGTTTCTATTTTTCACAAATAAGTATTCAATCTTTACTACACACTTGGAAGGAAAAAAAAAGCTGGGCAAATACATAAATAGATTATACTCCAATGTGGAGAAGTAGGAATGGCATGGTGCATGAAGAAGGATGTTGTATATGTCTATGGCTCAACGGAGCTACTAGAGGTTGTAAACATAAGAAAAACTGGTTGAAAGGTACAAATTTTGATCCTATATTAACTTTCATCATTTTCCAAGTAACTACCATCTTACCACAAACCATATGTTTTCAAAACAATTTCTAATTCACAAAATCAATGAATGCTTATTGCTATTTTAGTGAATGGTGGCTCTCATCCTTACTAATTCTCACACAATAAAACTTCAACAAGAGACTTCTCTAGCTACATGTGTTAAACCACTATCTTACGACAAGGCTTGTGTGCACAAAATGATTCAACAAGTGTCTCAACATCTAGACTCACATGAACAATATCAACTCCTAGTGGTGTATTTTGTCATTCAAGAACATGAATATATAGCAAATAGAGACTTAAGGAAAAATTTAGACCAAAATTCCATGTAAATCATGCACTTTACAACAAAATTTAAGTTAAACTCTCCCCCAACTAAACATTGCATTGTCCTCAATGCAAAAACATGTCTACCAAATAAAGGTAAGGAAAGATGTCACCTGAGTGCAGAGACGAATCGCATGAGCTAAAGTATAGGAAGTCTGAAAGTCTCCAATGGAAAGAGTGATGCAGAAAATGAAAATAAACTAAAAAAAATGCAAAACATACTAAAAAAATTTGAAACTAATATACGAAAACACAAAGTAAAAAGTAAAAAATATACTTGAGATGTGTCATGGGTGGTAAACCGGGTCTGCAAGAGGAATTTCTTCCAATGCAGACACATGTTGCCCATAGAGTATTTCAAGTCTCTGTCCATTCACTTTGAATACCTTACCATCATTAGGGTCCTCAATTTCAATCGCCCCATTTTCAAAAGCTCGTGTTACGACAAAGGGACCAGTCTACCTAGAGCGTAGTTT